CGCTACCTTGCAATTTTGCGATTCAGTATCAAAAGTTAAAAATTCCACTTCGTAGAAATATTTCCGTAAAACGTTAAAATTTTTCACGGTGAATGTGTAACTAATTAAGCGAACTTGAGTGACCGAAAATGTGACGAACTCGTCACTTACCCGTCATTGAAATGATAGTATCCCGTTCCTCCCCGTATCCCTCTCTCTAAACGGAGAATTTCAGCCATGGTAATGATTTAGATGACATGGATGACGGTATATTGAGCTGCGAAGTACTGACGAGCAGCTCATGACCAAATGACGGCCTGGGTGCAAATACCCGCTCTCAGGGAGTGTTGCAGGGCCCGGGGGAAAAGGGGAGGGGAGGGAGGGGCAACGGTATGACGAGGAGCATTGCGATTGGTTAGCCCTACGACGGCCAGGTGTTTCTGACCGAAGCGACCAGAATCGCTGAAGCCGGACGTGCTGTTTTGTGAACGTCTCCCGAAGAGGAAAAGAGGCTGCTGCCCGGTCCAGACACTTCAGTGTTGTGTCTTGTGCACCTCGACCCTTGCTGCCTCACGTGCCTCCAGCGGCCCGCGCTCCCCCCGGCATCTCGTCATCTGTCCTCATCTCCTCATCTCCTCATCTCGCACCGAGTCTGTGGTGAGTGTTTGTTTCCCTGACTTATTGTGTTGCGAGGGGGAAATCACTTGGGTTTGTAGCATACGGGGTGTTTCGCGTTATTTCTCCTGCCATTTCGGTTATTTCTCGCCTATTTCGGATTATCCCAGGGTATTTCGCGGTATTTGAGGGGTATTTCGCGACCATTTCACCGGCTATTTCGCGTCTATTTCGGGTCTATTTCTTCTTTATTTCGGACCATTTCGGGGGAAGGTGTACGAACTATTTCGCAAGTGATTTCCCTCTCGTTGTGTTGGACTGCAGTAGTAAGATGTATCAATGTAAGCCGGAGTGATAGCCATGCCGTGTTAGATTGTAACACAACGTTGTACTGTTGTGCTGTGCTGTTGCGCCCGCTTCCTCAAGGCGGCGTTACCGGAGCAACTTCTATTATCAATCTTGGACTAGTACTATCTGGTAGCTACCCTTCCTTCACTGAAACTTCAAGTCCCTATGCCCGTGTCATTGGTTCCCATTTTATCACGCATTTGGCCGCCCGGACGCGCGGGCCGGTCTGTTATGAGTGCCGTGGGGACATCTCCCTCGCACTCTCGCTCACCATGTTGCTCCACATCTCTGTCTGTCACGCTGGTGTTACTCAGGAGTTCAATTTTATTTCGGTTCCAGTACGCACTTTGACCCGTTTTATACCGTCAATGCCCGCGCGGCGCGCCTCCCTCGCGGATCTAGCTACGCAGTGCAAAACATACGAAAAGATACTGCCACGATTTCGCAACCTCCGTGTCCGCTTTCCGATGTCGTATCGATATCGTCTGGGTAACGGGCCCCGCCTAGGTGGCTCTTGACTCGAGCCGCCTGCGGCAGCCACTATGGTGACAGTTCGTATTTCACGCCCAGTAATATTTTCCTCTCGAATCTCCCGGCACGGCCTATGGCCCCGTTTCTCTATTTTCCTCT